CGCCCCCGCCCCCACGGCCCCCTCCTCCCCCCGCCTGCTCCCATCTTAGCTCATCTGTTCGTTGATCTGTCACCTCCAGGGACAGCTGTCGGCAGGACCCCGAGTGCGAATTCTACTTCAGCCTGGATGCTGACGCCGTCATCACCAACCAGCAGACCCTGCGCATCCTCATTGAAGAGAACAGGTCGCTTGCCCAGTTCGGCCGGAGGGAGCCCAGGTAGTCTCTGGGGAGCCCCCGACTTGTTCCCCGGGGACAGGGCTCACCTCTGCCCATCCATAGGAAGGTGATAGCGCCCATGCTGTCCCGCCACGGGAAGCTGTGGTCCAACTTCTGGGGAGCCCTGAGCCCCGACGAGTACTACGCTCGGTCCGAGGACTACGTGGAACTAGTGCAGCGGAAGCGAGTGTGAGTTCTGCCCCTGCCCTCCGGCCTGTGGCCACCCGCGTGCCCTCCCGAGGCCCCGTTCCCAGGGCTCCGGTGCGGCCTCCAGTCGCAGTGCCACAGCTGTGGGGTGGGGGGACCGGAGCGAGACCGGGGTGGCGTGACCGGCGGCGCTTCACCGGGGACGCGGCTTGGCGAGCGGGCGCCCTGGGGGAAGGGGCTCCCGGGTTGAATCGTGCCCACCTGACCCCGGTGCGGGTGCCTCCAGGGGCGTGTGGAATGTGCCCTATATATCCCAGGCGTACGTGATCCGCGGCGAGACCCTGAGGACAGAGCTGCCCCAGAGGGAGGTGTTCTCGGGCAGCGACACCGACCCGGACATGGCCTTCTGTAAGAGCCTGCGCGACAAGGTGAGTGGGGCCTGGGGGCCCCATGCTGGGGTGCTGGGAAGCAGCCGCCCGCGTCTTCTCACTCTGACCCCCGACCCGGCCCCAGGGCATCTTCCTCCACCTCAGCAATCAGCAGGAATTTGGTCGCCTCCTGGCCACCTCTCGGTATGACACAGACCATCTGCACCCTGACCTCTGGCAAATCTTCGACAACCCCCTGGTGAGTGATGGGCCCCTCGCTCAGAGAACCGGCGCGCCCTTCTCTAAAGGAGGACGCAGGCACACGTGCACGCGCACACACGCATAGTGCTCACCCCCAAGGTCTGCTACTGCCTGAGGACGGGCGGTCGTGGTAGTGGGGCCGGGGCTTCCTTGGGGGACCAGATGGCGCAAAGAGGGCACGGGTCAAAGCGCGCACCCCTCCCCTGCCGCAGGACTGGCGGGAGCAGTACATTCACGAGAACTACAGCCGGGCCCTGGAAGGGCAGGGACTCGTGGAGCAGGTGAGCCCCGCCCCCCACGGGACCCCTGACTGTCCTGGTGGCCGTTGCGCCCTGAGTCTGCCGCCTGGATTAGCGGTCTCCAAACAGACCCCCCTCCTGGGCAGAATGCTCTGCCCGGGCAGATAAAGGCACAGGCTGAGCAGATGGGCCTTCAGCTTCCCACCCTGCCACCAATCAGAGCGGTCCTCTCTTCTCTCTTGGGACCGTTAGCATAAGGAAGCTCCAAACCCAGGGCTCCAGGACCCCCCCTGCCACCTGTGCCGTGTTCTCTGAGCCACTGCCACCTTCTCTGGCCCAGCCTTTCCTGGCCCAGCGCTGGCCACGGCCTGTCCCCACGCTCGGGTCCCCAGGTCCCCGGCTTCCCTCGTCCCCCGGCTTCCCTTTCTGCTCCTGGCCTTTTCTCCGCTCTGTTGGCTTCTCCCCGAGAGGTCACTGAGCATCGCCCTGGCCCTGTTGCTCCTCTCCTGTCTTCTCAGCCGTGTCCAGACGTATACTGGTTCCCGCTGCTGTCAGACCAGATGTGTGACGAGCTGGTGGAGGAAATGGAGCATTACGGCCAGTGGTCAGGAGGCCGGCATGAGGTGAGGGGGGCTGGGTAGTGAGGAGGGAGGGCTCCCCGAGGAGGGAGGTGTTGCCGGGAGCCAGGGACATGGAATCAAGAGAGTGGCACCAAAGAGGGGTCCCCAAGGGAGAGAGGACCCACAGAGGGCACAACTGTGTTCATTCATTCACTCATTCATTCAAGAAACACTAACCCGGCAGGCGAGTCCCAGGTGCCGCCACTGACCTCGGCGGCGTGGTGCACTGGGCGGTGCTGGCCGAGCCCCCCTGCACCTCACCCGCTATAGTCAGTGGCAGGAGCTACTTCTGAAGGCTGCGTCCGGCAGCCCAGATGCTGTGGGGGTCACGGGGCGGGGGGGGGCCCTCGGCCCAGACACGGGGGATCCGAGGGGCTTCGCAGAAGAGATGACGTCTTCACTGAGACACAGAGGGCCTGCAGGAGCGAGTCAGG